CGGTGGTGAGCGTCAGCCGGCTGGGCGAGCGGCGGGCGCGCGGCGGGCAACCCGGCGCCTTGCTGGCCCCGCTCATGCCCAACGGTTGGCCCAAGGAGTTGGGGAAAGTCACCCAACACGACCTGGATTCGGGGGTCCTGCCCACGCCGGAGCAGACCCCGTTGCAGCAGAAACGCTGCCCCGGCGCCCTCCAAAACTGCACCTGGGAGCAGAGTCACAACATCATCAACGCCGCATTGCGGGACCCCGGCGGATCCGGCACGACCGCTGCCGGCACCGGTCGGCTGCACGCTGGCTCTGGCCGCCCCGCTCGCGGCATCCCCCTCTCCTGCCACGCCATCCTGGTGGATCAGGAGCTGGAGGCCGAACTCAGCGACTCCTCGGGTGATGGGCATTGGGGTCGGGACCCCCAGGAGGGTCCCCGCACCCGGCAACACCCACCCACCGGCGCCCGCCGCCCGCCCCGCAGCTCCTACGGTGACTTCGCCGGCACGCCGCACCCCAGCCCCGACCGCCGACGGGTGGTTTCGGCACCCGGCGGGGAGGGGGGAGACTTTACCGAGGGGCCGCCCTGGCACCCCGAGCAGCTGAACTTTAACGCCAACAACGGCACGGGCCGCCCCGGCGCCCACCTCAAGAGGAACCACACGTTCAACAGCGGCGAGGTGCCGGCGGGGGGTTACGGGCGGCACGGCACGGCACCGCGGGCACCGGGCACTGGGCCCCCACGGGCGCTGACGGACCTGCACCACCTCCTGCGCTACGGCGTGGAGCGGACTCCCTCGGGAAAATAGGGTCCCACCCTGTGCGTGTGCGTGTGCGTGTGTGCGTGTGTGCGTGTGCGTGTGTGTGTCCCCAAGGCACTGATGGGGTCCCCCGGCTCCCCGGGGACAAGGGAGGGGGTGGCTGGGCATGGGGCGAGATGCTGCATGGGTGGAGGGGTGTGGGGGGGTGGGGGGCGCGGGGGTGGCACGGGTAAGGGGTGGGGGACAGGCACCCCCTTGGGTGCCCCCGGATAGGGTTTGGGGGTGTCCCTGTGTGGTGTGGGGCAGTGCCCCGCGCTCCGGCTGCTTTGCCCTGGGGGGGGGGGGGGGGGGGGGGGGTTGTCCATCCCGTCCCCTCCCCAGGTTGGACCCAGGGACCGCAGCACCCTGGGAGGGGGATCCCTGGGAGGCAGCAGGATGGACACACGGACACGGGCACAGCCGCAGCAGAGAAGGGCTGTGCACCCCCCACCCCCCCCCCACCCTGCAGCCCCTCCGCCCCAGCAGCGGTACCCAAGGACCCGGAATGGGGAGGGGAGGGGGGGGGCTTGTGGGTGCTGCCAGCACCCTGGGGACACCCGGCCAGGGGGGTGCGTTTGTTGCGGTGATGGGACACAGTGAACATTTGGGGTGCGGGGGGGGTGGGGGGCCTCCAAATATGTGTGATATCTGGGTACAGGGCACTCCCCCCCCCCCCCCCCCCCCCCCAGCCTGGGGTCAACCCCTGCCCAGTGCCAGCTTGTAGGGGGGGGCAGGGCTTATCCATTCCCCCTTCCCCCCCCCCCCCCCCCCCTCCTGGACAGCACAGCCGGGGTGTGGGGGCACCACTGGGGCTGAGGGGGTCCCCACCAAACCCACTCTCTGCTGGCAAAGGGTGCCCTTTGGGTGCCACCCCTGCCCGGCCGCGGGGTGGCAGGTCCCCGGGGGGAGGTGGCAGGTCCCCAGGGGGGTGGCAGGCTGTAAATAGGGTGGGGGGCGGCGGGTGCTCCCCCCCCCCCCCCCCACCTCCGCGGCCATGCATGCGGCCGCCCGCGGTCTGTACCCCGCGGCCCCAATAAACGCCCGTTTACCGGAGGCGACTCCCCCCGCTGCCTCCTCAGCACCTTCTTACCCACCGCCCCCCCCCCCCCGGGACCACCCGACCTCGTGGGGGACAACACTGGCTGGGGGGGTGCTGCTGGCCCGGGAAGGGGGGGGGGGGGGATGGGGATGGGGTGGACATGGGGTGCAGCTGCCTGGGGTCTCTAGGTGTGCAAACCCCCCGCGCGTGCACACCCCCACACCCCCCCCCATGTCACTCATGTCTCCATTCACTCCAACACCCCGCCCCCCGTGGGCACACACATATCCCGTTGCACACACACGTGTGCTTCCCCCCCCCCCCGCCCCCCATGCTCACACCCCCCTGTGCACCCCCCACCTTTGCTCACACACACCCCCACCACCACCACCGTGCACCCACACCACTCTGCTCCCACACCCTGTGCTCACCCCCCCCGGCTCCCCCCCACCCCCAGCACACCCCCCACCCGCTCCCAGCCCCTCTCCCATGCAACGAGTTCCTCCGTGCTCAGCCTGCAGCAGCCACGGGGCCCCACCGCTCCCCAGCACCCACGACGCGCCGTGCCTCAGTTTCCCCCGTGGGGGTGTACAGCACCACGTGCTGCCCGTGGTGTGGTGGGTGCTGGGGGGGGGGGGTGGGGTGTGTGTGTGTCTCATAAAATCCCTGAGAGGCATGAGGGTGGAAGGGGGTGGGGGGGGGGGGGGGTGTCAGTGCCGTGTCCCCTAAGAGCCACGGGGGACGTGGGGACGCCAGCACCCTGACCCTGCCCCGGATGCCGGCACCCTGCGAGCTGGCACCGAAGGCGGCGATTTCCCAACCGGCACGTGAGGCCAAGCCACCAACCCCCCCCCGGGGGGTGACAGCCACCGAGGAGCCAGGACGGTCCCCAAGGAGCCTCGCCGGCCGGTTGGGAAGGTGAGGACAGGGCTGGGGGGGCTCGGTGGGGTCGGGGGTGGGGGGGACACACATAGTGGGGGGTCAGGGCATCTTCCTGCCCACAGCCGTGGCCTGTGCACGCCAGGGCGGAGAGCCAGCCGCGGTGACGGAGCTTGCCCAACCCTCGGGTGACGATGGCCGCTTGCCCGCAGCCCAGCACCATGAGGGGCCGGATCCTGCCACCGCTGCTGCTGCTGCTGCTGCTGCCGCCTCCCGGCCCCGCCGCCCCGTGCTCCCCTCAACCCAACGCCACCCGTTTCGTCTGCACGGAGCCCACCCTGAGCACCTTCCCCACCGGGCTGCCCCCCACCACCTTGGCCATCTCGGTGGAGTTCACGGCGTTGGCCACCCTCCTCCCCACCGCCCTGGCTGGGCTGCCCCGGCTGCAAGAGCTCCACCTCTCCTCCAACCGCCTCACCACCCTCCCCGAAACCCTCCTGCGCCCCGTGCCCACCCTCCGCGTCCTCGACCTGACGGAAAACCTCCTGGCCGATCTCCCCGCCGGCATCTTCACCAGCACCGGCCACCTCCAGCACTTGGTGCTGCGGGGGAACCGGCTGCGGGTGCTGCGACCCGCCTGGTTCCGGCACCTTCCCCGGCTGCAGTGGCTCGACCTGGCTGCCAACGCGGTGGCAGAGGTGCCGCCGGAGGTTTTCGCCCCGCTGCGTTCCCTCCGTAGCCTGGATCTCTCCGGGAACCGCCTGGCATCGCTGGCACCGGGCGCGCTGGCCGGGCTGCGGGCGCTGGAGCGGCTCGACCTGGAGGGGAACGGGCTGGGCACGCTGCCGCCCGCCGCCTTCGCGCCCGCGCCCGCCCTGCGCTTCCTCTTCCTCCAGGATAACGCGCTGCAGGTGCTCCCCGCCGGCATCTTCCTCCCCCTGCGTCACCTCCGTGTCCTCGACCTGGCGCGTAACCGGCTGCGGGCGCTGGAGCTGCCCCCCCGGCCCCCCGGCCCCGCGTTGGACCTCGACATTTCGGGTAACCCCTGGGCCTGCGAGTGCCCGCTGCTGGCCACGCTGCGGCGGGTGGCCCCGCGGCTCGGTGCCACCCGTGACACCCTGTGTGCCAGCCCCGCGCACCGACGGGGACAGGAGGTGGCCGCCCTGAGCCGGGCTGGGGACACGGGCTGCGAGCCCAAGGGGGACGGGCAGCGTCCACCGGACCCCTAGGCAGGGGGCTTGGTGTCACCTCAGGAGCCTGGACATGTCACCTCCCTCCCTGCCACTCTGTCGCCAGCTGAGATGAGCTCTCCTGGGGAAACTGAGGCAGGGAGAGCGGGGTTGTGGCTGGCTCCAGCCCAAAGGCCCCTGTCCCCATCCTGTGACGCCCATCCCAGTGGCTCCCAGCCCCTTCCCACCTGGCTCAGACTGTCCCACATCCCTGTCCCCATCCAGCCTGGCACTGTCCCTGTCCCCACCCCACCAGAGCGCATTAAACACGGTCATTTGATGCCACCTCACACTTTCTCCTGTGTATTGTCCTAGGAAGTCCCCAGGCTTCCATGTCACCCAGCCGTGCCCGTCCCACACCCGCTGTGTCCCCTGCCCGTGCCCATTCCCAGCCTGCGCCCCACAGGGCCACCCCCTGGGATCACCCACCACCCTGTCCCACCCCCCCAGGCACGGCTCACCCCTGGGTGACACTGCTGTCCCCTGGCCTGAGCACCCACAGGGGCTGGTGGGCGACTTGGGGCCACGGGGCGGGGGGGGGGGGGGGTGTTCTGCTTGTCATGGGGACACCGGCTTGGGGACATTTGGCATGGGGACACATGGCCAGGGGACACTTGGCAGGGAGATGTTTGGCATGGGGACACCTCGTGTAGGGTCACCTGGGGTGGGGACACGGCGTGGGGCGGGGGGTCGGGCCCTGGCCGCCCACGCGGGACGGAGAAGGGGGGGGGGGTGTCCCCGCCGTTGCCTCCGGGGGCGCGGGACGTTGCGGAGCCTCCGGGGCAGGATCGGGCCCCCTCGGCCCCACGTGGCGGCACCCCCTAAAACCCGCCCCACCCCCCTCGGCCCGCCCCCCCCTTCTAATTGGTGGAGGCGCGTCCCGCCCCTTCGCTGATTGGCTCCCGCCGCCAACTATGAATCCGGCGCTGGGCGGGGACCGGGGATCGCGATCACGACCGGGGGTCGCGACAGACACCCCCCTCGCCCCGTAAGTACCATCCCCGGGATTTCCCGTTGGAGGGTGGAATGTGGGTGCTGGGGGGCTCCGCAGGTATCTGCGGGGGGGGGGGGGGCGGGTCCGGGGATCCCCGGATCGGGCCCCGCAGGGCCCGGGTGGGGGGCTCCGGGGGTGGGGGGGGGGTGGGGGGGCGGTGCTGAGAGCCCTGCGGCTTCAGGCAGGACACAGGGGCTGGGGGGGGGTTCCCAGGTGTCCCCTGCCTGTTCCCCCCCACCTCACCCCTTCGCGATGGGTGCCCCGGAGCACCCCAGGGACCCCGAGGGGACCTGCCCCCCCACCCCGGGACCTGCACCTCAGACACCCGAGGGGACACCCCCAGGAACCCGAGGGGACTTGCCCCCCCACTCCCCCTGCCTGCAGGCACACACCCCCCCCCCCCCAATATCTCCCCCAGGACTTGCCCCCCGGGGTGCACAGGGCCAGGCCGGGGGGGGGCAGCAGGACAGGGACTCTGCCCTGTCCCCCTGCGGGACCCAGGGCACAGCCGCGTGGCAGCGGGACACCCCAAAAAGCAGAGACTCTGCAGGGGAGGGGGGAGCCGGGGGGGGGGGGGGGCTGCCAGCTGCTCTGCTCCCAGCGGTGGGTCCTGGGGCTGCCCCAGCCGAGGTGACAGTGACTGGTGGCACGTCCCCACCGCAGGCTTGCGCAAGGTGAATCCAGCCCAGCTTCCGGCTGAATCACCCAAAAACCCTTTCTGGCCCCAAACCGGGATGGGAGAGTACCCAACCCCACCACATCCCAGCAGGGCAGGAGGCCAGCCCCATCCCCAAACCCCTTCCAGACCTCCCCCCCCCATGACACCCCCCACAAGCGGCTTGGAGGCCTCCAGCTTCCTCCCACTCCTGTCATGAGTTGATGGGTCTCAGCGCTCAGAGGAGTAGGGGCTGGGAGGGGGGGTGCTGGAGGGCTCAGCCCCACTATGTGCTGCTTTCCTCCGCACGGTGAGGGGCAGCCATGGGGCTCAGCAAGCCCGGGGAGGGGGGGGGGGGGAGTCCAAACCGGGCTCAGCCACCCACAGCACCCCCCCTGATCTTTCTCTTCCCGCTGCAGCCGCCGCTGCCATGTCGGCCGAAAACACCGTGCCAGCAGAGGATGGGCAGGAGCTGAAGGTAGGGGTGCAAGGAGAATTGGGGGGGGGGGGGGGGGTGTGTGCTGTGGGCATTGCTGGGGACCCCAGCTCACCACCACCACCCCCGGCAGAGCGTGGTGAGCAGGGTGGCCAGCCTGGCCCTGGTGAGCTGTGCCTGCGGCGCCGTCTCCACGGCGTACGCCTCCACCAAGGAGAGCCACCCCTACGTCAAGTCCGTCTGCGACGCCGCCGAAAAGGGGGTGAAGACGCTGACGGCGGCGGCGGTCAGCGGGGCCCAGCCCATCCTCACCAAGCTGGAGCCGCAGAGTGAGTGGGGCCGGGGCGAGGGGGGCAGCACCCCGTGAGTTTTGGGGTGCCCCAAAAGTGGCTCTAGCAGCGCTCTCGCAAAGCAGCAGGATAGGAAAAATCTGGTTTCATGTCTCCAGGTTATGCTGTCCGTGCATATGCGTGTAAAGGGCTGGAGAAGCTGGAGGAGAAGCTGGGGGGTGGGGGGCAGCACCCCGTGAATTTTGGGGTGCCCGAAAACCAGCCCTAGCAGAGCTCTTGCAATGCAGCAGGGTATTAAGACCCACTCTCATTTCTAGTTTCCCATTCTCATTTCTAGTTTCCACCGCCAACAAATACACCTGCAAAGGGCTGGATAAGCTGGAGGAGAAGCTGGGGGGGGGGGGGGCAGCACCCCATGAGTTTTGGGGTACCCCAAAAACAGTGCTCTTGCGAGGCAGCGGGATATAAAAAAAAAAAAAAAAAAAACAAACAACACTTCTTTTCACAACTTTAGTTTCCACCGCCAATGAATACGCCTGCAAAGGGCTGGAGAAGCTGGAGGAGAAGCTGCCCATCCTGCAGCAGCCCCCGGAGCAGGTAACGTCTGCCCTGGGGGTCACGGCGGGGGGGTCCAGCGCTGGGTGAGGTGCTGGGACGAGGCGTCCCTCTGCTGTCCCCTCCCAGGTGGTGGCAGGGACCAGGGAGCTGGTGTCGTCCACCATGAGCGGCGCGGTGGGCCTGGCCCGCGGCGCGGTGCGGGGCGGCGTGGAGAGGACGCGCTCGGCGCTGAGCACCGGCGTCAGCACCGTGGCTGGCTCCCGCGTGGGCCGGCTACTGGCCACGGGGGTGGACGCGGTGCTGGGGAAATCGGAGGAGCTGGTGGAGTGGTACCTGCCCGGGACGGGCGAGGAGCTGGGTGAGTGCCGACCGCGCCGCGCCGGAAACCGTATCCTAAATTTGAGGGTGCCCACCAGCCCCTCGGGACTCCCGTCTCATTGCTCAGCACCGGCCCAGCATCGCTTGCACCCAGCGCCCCTGCTTAGCCCCCCGCCGTGGTGCCAGGGCCGTGCCCCACGCAGCGCCCACGGCCACCGTGGCACCCCGCAGGGGACGGTCCCCGCTCAGCCGGAACCCGAAGCCGGGGAAGGCGGCGGTGGGTGAACTCTCACCTGGAAACCAGAAAGCAAATATAGCCCCGTGCCACCCACCCTGGGTATTTATAGCTCGGCACGGGATAGCGGTGGGCAGAGCTGGCCCCGTGTCACAGCAGAGGTGACCGGAGAGGCCACCTGACTCTTCGGTGACACCTCCCCATGACCTGACGGCCAAACATCCCGTGGGTGGGCGCCCCTGTGTCCCCACGATGGGGCGCGGGGGTTGGGAGTTCACCCCAGCACCGGCTGGTGGGATGCTCCGGTGCCCGGCGCGGGATGGTCCGTCCCCGGGGTTCTCACCCCCCCCCGGGGTTCTCACCCCCCCCCCGGTGGTCCCGCAGCGGCAGAGGTGACCACGCCGGAGCGGCAGGGACGGCGGCAGAGCTGCTTCGTCCGCGTGGGCTCGCTCTCGGCCAAGCTGCGGCACCGAGCCCTGCGGCGCTCGCTGGGTGAGCTGCAGCGGGCACGGCACAGCGCCGAGCGGGTCCTGGCCCAGCTCCACCACATCATCGAGCTGGTAAGGATGAGGGCAAGGGACTGTGCCAGCCCCGGGACCCCCCCCGGCACCCCCCCCGGCGTGCTCCCGCCTCGCTGTCCCTTCCCTGCAGATGGAGCAGGGGCGGGAGGGCACGGACGGGCCCCTGTCCGGCACCCGGCAGCATCTCCACCGCATGTGGCTGGAGTGGAGCCAGCAGGATGCTGTGCCCATGGAGGAGGGCCAGGTATGGGGTGGGGGGGACACCGAGGTATTGGGAGGGGTGAGAGGGGGGCCATGCCTCTGGAGGACACGGAGGTGTGGGGTAGGGGGCCATGCCCGTGGAGGGGACCAAGGTATGGGGCAGGGGTACCAAGGGAAGACAGAGGATGGGCTGGGGTGGGGGGCTGTGCCCGGGGAAAACTGGGGTACAGGGGTGGGGGTTGTGTCGGTGGAGGACACCAAGGAGTGGGGTGGGGGCCTTGCCCGTGGAGGATACAGAGGTGTGGGGTGGGGGTCCATGCCTGTGGAGGAGACCAAGGTATGGGGTGGGGGTTGTGCCCGTGGAGGACACTGAGGTGTGGGGTAAGGGGCACATGCCTGTGGAGGACACTGAGGCATGAGGTGGGGGCCATGCCCACGGCGAAGACCAAAATGTGGGGCAGGGGTACTCAGGGAAGACACTGAGGTATGGGCTGCGGTGGGGGGCTGTGCCCGGGGAAAACAGTGGGGTACGGGAGTGGGGGTTGTGCACGTGGAGGAGACCAAGGGGTGGGGTGGGGGCCTGTGCCTGTGGAGGACACAGAGGTGTGGGGTGGGGGTCCATGCCTGTGGAACACACGGAGATATGGGGTAGGAGGCCATGCCCATGGAGGGGACCAAAATGTGGGGCAGGGGTACTCAGGGAAGACACTGAGGTATGGGCTGGGGTGGGGGGCTGTGCCTGGGGAAGGCAGTGGGGTACGGGATGGGGGTTGTTGTGGAGGACACAGAGGTATGGGGTGGGGGGCCGTGCTCATGGTGAAGGCCAAAATATGGGGCAGGGGTACTCAAGGAAGACACTGAATATGGGCTGGGGTGGGGGGCCATGACCCGGGAAGACAGTGGGGTGCGGGACTGGGGGTTGTGCTTGTAGAGGAGACCAAGGGGTGGGGTGGGGGCCTGTGCCCGTGGAGGACACAGAGGTGTGGGGTGGGGGTCCATGCCTGTGGAGGAGACCAAGGTATGGGGTGGGGGTTGTGCCCATGGAGGTAACTGAGGTGTGGGGTGGGGGCCTGTGCCCTTGGAGGACACCGAGGTGTGTGTGGGGGTCCATGACTGTGGAAGATGGAGGTATGGGGAGGGGGTTGTGCCCTTGGAGGACACGGAGGTATGGAGGGGGGGGGGTGGGGGGTGGTCCACGCCTGCGGAGGGACACCAAGGTACAGGGGGGTCCAGGCCGGGCAGGGGGACCATGGCACCCCAAGGCCCCCACTGCCTTGCAGGTGGAGGCGCGGACGCTGGCCATGCTGCGTGGGCTCCTGCGCCAGCTCCACGCCGCCTGCACCCGCCTGGCCGCCGCCGCCCGGGTTTTACCCACCAGCGTGCAGGAGACGGCGGGACACGTCCGGCACGGCGTGGAAGGGGTACAGGCTACCCTCTCCCACGCCCACTCCTTCCACGACCTGTCGGATTTGGTGCTGGCGCAGAGCCGGGAGACGATGACGCGGGCGCAGTTGAGCATCGACGATATGCTGGAGTACGTGGGGCAGCACGCGCCCCTGCCCTGGCTGGTGGGACCCTTCGCCCCAGCCCTGGTGGAATATCCGGAGGATGTCCCCCTGGAAATGGCCAAATGGGAGGGTTGTATCACCGTGGGGGGGACGCACCAGGTCCCCGCCACCCCCCCGTGACTCTGCAGCCAAGCGCTGAGCCACCGGCGCAACGCCAAACCGGGGGAGCGCCCACCCCACCCGCAGCAGTGAACCCCATCCCCGCCGGGGGGGGGGGGGACACACGAGGTGACGATGGACTCGGTGACCCGGCGCGGGACCCCCCGATGCTGCAGCTGGGGACTTGTTCTGGGAGTGGGGGGGGGGGGGGGGGGGGACGGGGGGCACGTGGGGGACCTGTGCCTGTCCGGGATTCCCCGCGCTGTCCCCGAGCCGGCGGAGCGTTGGAATTTCTTGTCTTCAAAGCACTTTAAAGAGGAAGAAAACGACTTTTTAGGCCTTAAAATGACTCAGCCTGTAGCGGTGGCTGCGGTGGAGCCACCACGTCGTGGGGGGGGGGGGGGGTGGGGGGTGGTGGCAGAGATGGGGGCACAGGGTGACCCCACGGGGAAGGTTTTGCTGGTGGGGTGCTGGGATGGGGAGAGCGGGGCGGGTGCTGGCGGGGCGCTGGGATGGGGGGTGCCAGCGGGGTGCCGGGGCGGCTGGACTGTGAACCGCGGCCGTGTGGCACCGAACTTTGTCCCGGTTATCACCGCGTGGGGCTGGGCCCGGGGGTATCCCCGACATTTCAGGCGCAGCGTGGCCACGGCACCCAGTGGGGTGGCACCAGGACCCCCAGGACTGGGCGTCCTCCTGCCGCCAGCACCCACTGGGACCATTCTGACCTTCACTGGGCAAGTTGAGGAGCGGGGGGGGGGGGGGCAGGAACACGGGGAGCCCCGTGCTGGGGGGTCCCCGCTAAGGGGAGGGTGGGCTTGAGGGGGGGGGGAGTTAGTGCCTGATCTGTGCCGGGGGGGGGGGGGTGTCGGTGCGGGTGTGGCCTGGGGGAAGGGGAGTCGATGTCGTGGCGGGGGGGGGGGGGGGTCGGGGGGTCGGTCCTGGGGGGGAGATCCGGTCCCGGGGGGGTGCGGGGGATCCGGTCCCGGGGAGGGGAATCCTGTCCCGGGGGTATCAGTGCACTCCGGTTCCGCGGGGTGGGGGGGGTGGTGGTGGTGTTGGTGCAGCTCGACCTGCGGGAGGGGATTGGGGGGGGGGGGGGGGAGGGGGGGGGGGCCGGTCCCGGTCTCGGTCCCGGGAGGGGTCGGTGCTCCCGGACCGCCCCGGGCCGGCCCCGGCAGGGCGGATCCCGGTCACATGCGCTCGGGGCCGGGCTCCGGGGCTATAAAAGCCGGTGGGGAGGGAGCGGGGCGAGCCGAGAGCCCAGCGTCACCTCCGGAGGTGAGCCCGGTCCCGGTCCCGGTCCCGGTCCCGGTCCCGGTCCCGGTCCCGGTCCCGGTCCCGGTCCCGGTCCCGGTCCCGGTCCCGGTCCCGGTCCCGGTCCCGGTCCCGGTCCCGGTCCCGTCTTAGAGAGGGGAGTAACTTTGCGATTCCCCCACCCTGAGGGTGAGTGGGGGGGGGGGGGGCGTTGAGGGGGGAAAGCTCTGACCCCACTCGTGATTTCCCCAGCCCCGCCATGGCCACCAGCGAGCCCGGGACGGCGCAGCCCAAGGTGGAGGAGCAGCAGGTCAGCGGGGACAAGGGGGGGGGCTTGGGGTGGGGGTGTCCGGGGGGGGGGGGTCCTTGCTTGGGGACAGGACTCTGGGTTATATCCTACCCTTGGGTGGGCTCCGAGAGCCCTTGGAGTACCTTAAAGTCATCCTCGGATGGGTTGCCCCCCCATCCCCTATGAGATTTGGGGGTCCAGCACCTCCCTCACCCCCCTCCCCGCCTCATCCCGGCCCCTCTGCGCCCCCAGAGCATCGGGACACGGGTGGCCAGCCTGCCTCTGGTGAGCTCTGCCTACGACATGGTCTCCACGGCGTACGCCTCCACCAAGGAGAGCCACCCCTACGTCAAGTCCGTCTGCGACGCCGCCGAAAAGGGGGTGAAGACGCTGACGGCGGCGGCGGTCAGCGGGGCCCAGCCCATCCTCACCAAGCTGGAGCCGCAGAGTGAGTGGGGCCGGGGCGAGGGGGGCAGCACCCCGTGAGTTTTGGGGTGCCCCAAAAGTGGCTCTAGCAGCGCTCTCGCAAAGCAGCAGGATAGGAAAAATCTGGTTTCATGTCTCCAGGTTATGCTGTCCGTGCATATGCGTGTGTAAAGGGCTGGAGAAGCTGGAGGAGAAGCTGGGGGGTGAGGGGCAGCACCCCGTGAATTTTGGGGTGCCCGAAAACCAGCCCTAGCAGAGCTCTCACAATGCAGCAGGGTATTAAGACCCACTCTCATTTCTAGTTTCCCATTCTCATTTCTAGTTTCCACCGCCAACAAATACACCTGCAAAGGGCTGGATAAGCTGGAGGAGAAGCTGGGGGGTGGGAGGCAGCACCCCGTGAATTTTGGGGTGCCCAAAAACCGGCCCTAGCAGAGCTCTCACAATGCAGCAGGGTATTAAAACCCACTTATTTTCTCATTTCTAGTTTCCACCGCCAATGAATACGCCTGCAAAGGGCTGGATAAGCTGGAGGAGAAGCTGCCCATCCTGCAGCAGCCCCCGGAGAAGGTAGTGGGGTGGGGTGGGGAGGACAAACATGCTCAAGGTCCACCCCCCCACCACCACTTGCTTAGCAGAGGGTTGTCCTCCCTCTCCCAGCTCATCTCGGACACCAAGCAGCTGGTGACCTCCACGGTGACAGGGGCCAAGGATGTCCTGACCAGCACCGTGGCCGGGGCCAAGGACGCGGTGACCAGCCGGGTGACAGGTATGATGGACGTGACCAAAGGCGCCGTACAGGGCAGCGTGGAGTTGACCAAGTCGGCGGTGAGCAGTGGTGTCAACACCGTCATGGGCTCGACCGTGGGCCAGATGGTGGTGAGTGGGATGGGCTCCATGCTGGAGAAGTCGGAGGAGCTGGTGGACCATTACCTGCCCATGACGGATGAGGAACTGGGTAAGGAGCTGATATCAACCCCCTGGAGATGTGTCATGGGCAGGGGGTCCCCTTGGAGAGGGGTGGGTAGAGCCTGGGCAGGGCGATGCCGGCTCTACAATGGGTTTGGCGGTGGTGGGGCCACCTCAGCAGCTCCTCTCCTGCAGCCAAGCTGGCCACGGCCGTGGAGGGCTTCGAAACGGAGCAGCAGAAGCAGCAGCAGAGCTACTTCGTGCGCCTGGGCTCCCTCTCGACCAAGCTGCGGCACCGAGCCCTCCAGCACTCGCTGGGCAAGCTGCAGAGCGCCCGCCGCAGCAGCCAGGATGTGCTGGCCCAGCTCCAGCGCACCCTTGACCTGGTAGGACCCATCCCCACGTGTCCCCCTCCCCTCCCCACGCCACCCTGGGGCTGCAGCAGAGCACCCACGCCGGGCTCTGCCTCTCCTCCCAGGTGGAGCACCTCAAGCAGGGCATGGACCAGAAGCTGCAGGGAGGGCAGGAGAAGCTGCAGCAGATGTGGATGGAGTGGAGCAAGAAGCAACCGGGCGGTGGCAAGGACATGGTGCCACCGGAGGTAGGTGGCAGGCGGAGGGTCCCTGGGGTCACCCGGTGTCCCCTCACCCCTCATCATCACCCCTTTCTGTGTCCCCCCCACAGCCGGTGGAGTCGGGCACGCTGGCCCTGCTGCAGGGCTTGACGCAGCAGCTCCAGAGCTCCTGCCAGCCCTTGGTGTCCAGCCTCCAGGGCCTCCCCGCCAGCATCCAGGAGAAGGCAGGGCAGGTCCGGCACAGCGTGGAGGAGCTCCGGGCAGCCCTGGCCTCTGCTGCCTCCCTCCAGGACGTGACGGGCAGCGTGCTGGCCCGAGCCCGGGCCCATGCCACCAAAGCTCGCCAGCTGATGGACGAGCTGGTGGAGCACGTGGCCCACAACACCCCCCTGACCTGGCTCGTGGGACCCTTTGCCCCCTCGGGCCAGAACCTGGTGGACCTGGAGATGAAGTAGCATCTTCAGGAGTGGGGTGATGGTGGCTCCCCCTCTCCCCAAGCCTCACTAGGAGCATCTACTAATCCCTGCCTGGCCCACCTTGCCTGTAACCTTAGTGCCTGCCTGTACAGGGGCTCCCTCCTCCCTGCCCCACGTGTGGCTCTGTCCCTTGTCACCTGTGCCAGGGAGGTGCAGTAACGTGCCTTGGTACCCTCGAGTGCCTCCTGGGGTCACCTCCAGCCCTGGGCTGGATCCCCAGTGTCCCCTTGTCCTTGGTGCTTTCAAGCCCCTGGTCTTGGAGGGTTGGGGACAGCGCATGAAGCAATAAACTCCGGTTAGTTTTGCACTGGATTGAGTTTTCTTTGTGGGGGGGGTGTGTGGTAGTGGGGTTCCCATAGCTGCATCCACCCCAGGTAGGGGCTCGGTCTTGGATGATGTCATCGCCCTGTGTGACCTCACAGGGACTGTGGCTTCTATTGGTGTCACGGGAGGGGACAGCCCGGTGCTGAGCCCACAGGCCACCAGCCTCTTTCCACCTCCTCTCATCCCTAAGCAGAGCTCATGGCTGAGGGTGAGTGAAGGGGCTCTGGATCCTCCTGCCCCCCACGGCCTCCAGGGCCCCCCCAAACCCCTTCCATAACTCAGTGAGACCCCCAGCCTGTCCCCTGCCTTGGTGGGACCAGGGGTGAGGGGATTAGGGTTGTCCTGGAGCAGGATGCCCCCCAGGCTCATCCTGGCGGGGGTTCAGGTACAGCCCCTGGTCCTGGCAGCAGGGTCTGGGGGGGCTGGTGGTGTAGGGCAGGACCTGCTGCCTGCCGGGAGCAATGGGCAGCACCCTGTGGCCCCCATCCCATGCACTGGACCCCAGTGATCACCCACCCACCCCCCTCAGTGATCATGGCCCCTGGGCACCATCCAGGGGCTGGCAGCAGCAGGTTGGGACTGGGTGTAGGGGTCAGCTAGACCCCAGGGACCCCCACCCCCAGCATGGCTCAGCCCCTCGCCCCACACAGCTTCCCTTGCATCCCAGATGAGATGGGGATCGAGGCAAACACGGGCCCCATCCTGACCACCACCCCCTCCATCTGTCCCGTGAGCACAACTGGGCCCAGAGATGACACTGGGGCTCCATGGCATCTGCCTGCACCCCGGGTGTCAGCGCTGCGTCCCCTCTTGCAGGCAGTGCCACCTGGGACCCCAGGGAGGAGGCCACCCCACAGCCATCCCAGCAGGTACCCCCGCCCCAGGGGCTGCACCCTTGCTTGGGGACCCACGGGACCCTGGAGGGGACCGTGCCGGGGTGCCAGGGGCGTGTGTCTCACGGAAGCCCCCGTGCGCCCCAGGCTGCTGCAAGCTCTGCCCCGAGGGGCCCCCCCACGCAGCCAGGAGTCCCCGAGGACACCGGTGCCATCATCTCCTCGGTCGTGGCCACCATCCTCTGCCCCTTGCTGGCCCCCATGACAAGAGGGCTCTTCTGCCCCACCGTGGAGCAGGAGCTGAAGTGTTACCTGTCCCTGGGCGAGAGGCAGGCGGGTGAGAGACCCCAGGGTGCTGCTGGGGGGGTCCCCCACATCCCCTTTGCCCCAGGAAGCTGCTGGGGACCAGGACCCCCAGCACCCTGCCTCCAGCCCCTCTTCCCCTGCAGTGGACGGGGCTGCGGAGGGGCCAGGTTCGGCCCCAGCCGGGGGTCTCGGGCCCAGCCGCCGCGTTCCCCTCGTCTCCCTCCCCGGTGACGCCAGGATCCGAGCCGTGACCTTGGTGCAGCAGCTCCGGCAGAAGCAGCTGGACACCCACCACCACCTCACCCAGCTCCAGCGCATCCTCGACGTGGTGAGTCACCACTTCACGGTGCTGAGGCGGGGCGAGGGTTGGGGGGGGGGGTGTCCCCACTGTGCCCCGGGACCACCCCCCACCCCCTCCATGCCCACGGTGCCATTCCTCCCGCAGATGAAGGCCCTGGAGGAAGGCTTGGAGGAGCTGCTCTGCACCAGCCAGGAGCTGTGGGCTTGCAGGAACCGGGCGCAGGCGGACCCCAGCCCACACCCTGCCTGTCCCACCCCCCAGGCAAGGCCGGCCGAGGGGTGCAGGACCCCCGCCAAGGGGTGCAGGACCCCCGCGAGGCCGCCGGGGCAGGCGCTGGCCGCGGGTCGGCTGCTGGCGGGGCGGTTGCAGGGTTTTTTGGTGGAGCTGCGGGCTCGGGTCGGGGAGCTGCGGGCCCCGCTGCAGCTGGCAGCGCGGCGAGGCACCGCCGAGCTCCGCGGCGTTTTCAGCCGAGCCGGGTGGCTGTGGGAGCCGCTGGGGACAGTGGTGGCCCGAGGACGCGAGGTGATGGCCCAGGCCTGGGAAGCACTGGTGGCATTCCTGCTCCAGCACCCCGCAGTGCCGTGGCTGGAGGATGCTCCCGAGGTTGCCGGAGCGGCCGCACTACTCCCCACCCCACCGCAGCCCCAAACTTAGGGGTGGCCCCGGTTCGAGCAGCCGGGGCCGACCCCGTGTGCGGGGCTGAAAGCCTGATGTGTTCCTCGGTGGCACCAACATGGCCCTGCTCACCTTCACGTTTGTGTCTTGGCGTTCTTCCGTCCCACCCCTGGGGCTGCCATCTGCAACCCTGGGGGCTGAAAGAGCCAAAGGCCGGGGGGGTGGGGGAGCTAGCTGGGGGGGGGGGAGAGGACAGACAAACAGACCTTGTATCTGCCTTTAAATCCCCCCCCGACGCAGAGTGATGGCCCGAGGTGGGGAGGGGGTTCACACAAGCCCCTTGCTGAGGCAGTGCAGGGCTCAACCAGCACACACCCCCCCCCCCCGGGACGTGGTGACACGTCCCCATGTCCCCACTTTCCCCAGCGTTGGGGTCACCCCCATGTCTCCCCTGCCTGAAGATGGGGCCGAGCCTTTAGCCCTGCGCTGCGCAGCAGCACCCCATGTCCCCCCATCTCTCTCCCCTCTGCCTCCCGCTTCCCGGCAGTTGGGCAAGAGGCACAAGGGGCTTTTTTTTTTTTGGGAGGGGGGGGTGGTGGTTTATTTGGGTTTTGTTTACGGAGGGCTGGAGCATGAAATCAGCCCTGGAAAAAAAATAAAACACAATTCTCCCCAGGGTAGAGTTACAGCAACAGCAGCCTCAAAGTGGCGTCAGGGCATCCTCGTGCCTCCACAGCCCAAACACGACTCGAGGACGCAGCGGCTGGTTGAGCTGGGAACACCTTTATTTTACATGTACAAAAGCTTCGGATCTTTGCGAAAGAGCAGACAAACAGCCAAAGATGCTGCCCAGCACAAGGCAGGTTGCTGCCACGGTTCAAGTCCCTCCCTGGGTGAGTTAGGAGAGAGCACACAATTTTTCACTCGGTTTTTAACCCAAAAGCTGGTGCCCAGCCAGGAGGACCTGGCTCCAGCAGCTGCCTCTGGCCAGAGAGATGAGGGTGGGGAAAGGGGCTCGGAGCAGCGGGGAGAAGCCCCCGTGACTGAGGCAGAGCCCAGGGTCGGCTGTCCCTCTCCCCTCGCCAGGACCCAGCAGGGACAGGGACACCCATGGGTGCCTGGTCCTCGCTCGTAGGGTGGGCCAGGGGCAGAGGGAAGGGGGGGGTACCCCTGGGGGAGTTTTCCCCTGGGCGGGGGGGACGCTCCTGCCCTCCCCTCGTCACAGTCAGCGATGTCTCAAGAAACAAGACACTAGGGCTCCTTGTGTTTTTCATTAAAAAACCCTTTATATTCATTTCATGTCGGTTGAAATCACAGGAAATTAGGTAGGAGGGCAAAACAAAACAAAAACCAAAACAAAACCGAAAAAAAAAAAAAAAGAAAAAAAAAAGGGGGGGGACAAATACAGACAACCAGCACAGCCCCCGCCACGGTCGGTGCTTTCGCGGGGCTGGGGGCACAGGACAAGACCTAGGACATCAGCTACTGTGTGACTTAAGTGAAGTGACTCAAGCAGGGGACAAGGCAGAGGCTGGTCTCCCTTCGCAGCCCCTCCATCTCCTCCTCCTCCTCCGGGCAGGAGCCGCATCCTCAGCTCTCCTCGGCGTCATCCACAGCCTCTGACTCCCCGCGAGCCCGCTCCGGCCCGGCTCGCTCGGCCTTGGGATAGTCCTGCACGCTGCTGGGGGAGAGCGCAGGCACCTCAGCGAGCCTCTCCCCTGCCCCTCTGCCTTCCCCTGCCCCTCTCCCGCACCCCAGGCTCCTTCCCGAGCTGGGAAAAGCCCGACACAACCCACGAGACACTCCCCCCCCCCCCCAAATCATCCATGCGAGAGCCCAGCTTGGGTGTGCAGCAGATCCAGGGGAGCCCCCCGCACCCCCAGCTCTGCCCCTGCCACGCTCACTTGTTGTGGGTCTCCTCGGCGGACGCCTCCGGCTCCCCGGCTCCTGGCCCTTGGCTTCTGTCCTTCTCCTCCATGCCCTCCGCTTTTTGGGACAGGGATTCACCATTCACAGGACCCGACAAATCTAAAAGGAAGAGAGAAGCTCGGACGCTCAAGTCCCCGTGGTGGACTTCCCCAGCCCCTCGTGGGTCAGGATGGATGAAGCCGAGGACCCACAGTCACAGGTTGTCCCCGTCCAGGCAAAGGCCACCCAGCCAAGACCAAGGGGCCCCCAGCTCTGGCCTGACCCCAACAGCTACGAGAAGGGCCCCAAAGACCCCCATCGCCGAGCCCAGAGCCAGGCCTCAGAGTGGAATTCCCCCATCAGCTCCTCGGGGAAGGCTCTTGCAGCATCACCAGGACGTCCCCGGGCAGGGACCCGGCTACCAGGGTGGAAGATCCCAGTCACCAGCTGCCTGCGCAAGAGCCCCAGCCAGCGTCCAAGGGCGTCTCCGCGTTCCTCCGTCTCCCTGGTGCCTTGGGCCAGCGCTCGAGCTGGTGGCGAGGAGCCGTCCCGGCCCCAAAAAACCAACCCAAAAGCCCCCAAAGCCAGGGCGTGGGCGTTGAGGTTTGCCCTCTGCTCTCACTGCTGCGAGCGTTCGATCTTCAGTCCTTTCCCACTCTCGGCACTTCAGCAAACAAGGGACTGGAGGTGCCACACGTGGCTGCTGGTCCCCCTCCACCACCGAGGCCAAGAGCCACCCCTGTTCGTGTCTCCAGCGGGACGGGACGTGCCCCGAGAAGGGCCCTGGGATCTCTACGTGCCCAAACAGAGCAGGGAACCACCCCAAGACATTGCAGGGAGCGTTACCAGCATTTGTCTCCTCTTCCCCCTTCTCATTCCGTGTCTCCCCTCCCGACAGCTTCTCCTGGCCCTTCTCTGCCTCCCCCTTGTCCTTCTCAGGCCCGGCTTTGTTGGCTTTCTGGATCGCCTCCATCTTTGGTCCCAGGACACGCGACTTCAACCGGGTGTAGACTTCGGCAG